TCGGACAAAGAGTCCGAGGTCGGTGTCGTCGCTGTCATCATCTTCATCATCAACGTTGTTGTGGGTTGATGTTGTTGCGGGTAGAGCAATAGACCTCTTGTTCCTCTCTTCAACCACCTTTGAGAGTTGGGTGGTTTCGTAGGTAATAAGATTACCTCGAAGAGCATCATAGGTCGTTGTTTGGAAGTCACGACCTTCTTCGATTGCGTCCACCTTTGAACGCCATTTGGGGGATAGGCTTCGCAGCACCTTTCTCACGAGCTCTCGGTCGGTGTAGGTCTTCCCGAGAAGATTGAGAGGATTAATGATGTTAGAGAACCTCTCAAACATTTCCTCAATCTTCTCGTTTTCCTTCATTGAGAAGAGTTCGTACTCGTGAGTAAGATGGTCGATTTTGGCCTCCCGAACCTGCGCGGTTCCTTCGTAGGTGACCTCCAATTACTCCCACATTTGTTTTGCGGTTTCACACCGCGAAATTTTGCGGTAGTTATCCGCATTAACACTGCAATAAATCATGTTTATTGCCTTTGCGTTGAGCTCCATCTTTTTGCAATCTTCGTCGGTGAACTCCTCTTCGGTTTTGGGAAAGTTGACCTCACCAACTTTCTTCATCGGGACTCCGCAGCCGTTCTTCACAATCAACCACAGCTTGTAGTCGTTGGATTGGATAAAAATTCTCATCCTCTCCTTCCAATATGAGTAGTTTGTTCCATCGAACAAAGGTGGCCTTGTGGTTGATTGTCCCTCGGTAACTACTGCGTTGAACATCCTTGATGCCATTTGATCTTTTAGCTCCTGAAAAATAACGTATTCAAAGAACTTCCCGCTCCGATACCAATTGTTAGACAAATGTGCAACTGTAGAGGGGGGGTAAATAGAGTTGTTCTACAAGAATAAGCGTTTTTCGCGTGTGTGAAATAATGGAATCGCAGGAATAAAATAAAGAGAGTAAGGGAAAGAAGAACACCGAGATTTATACTGCTTCACCACCTCGTGGCTAATCCAGTCTTCCGAGAGACTCTCTCGAAAGTCCTACTAATCTTCAAGCTTCAACGGGTGCTTGAAAAACCGATACAACTTGAGAACTTGAATCACACAAGCCTCACTTTCTTACAACAACAAGACTTGAGTCACACAAGTCTTACGAACAATCACTCAAAAGAGATTGAGTTTACCACACAAGTATGAAAGCTCACACAATTGAGCAAGTAGTGTTTGAAAGATTTAAGCTCTATGGATGACAACTTCTTTAGCACTCAAAGAAAAATATTTCTAACTCTCAAAAATAATATTTGATGAGGAAGATGAAGCAAAGGATGAATATAGCTCAAAGAAATATATTGGAGTGCAAGAGGTGTGTGTTGAAATGAAGGAGAATGAGGGATTAAATAGGCTGAGGAAAATAAAGCCGTTGGAGTAGGCTGAGAATATGCACTAGATAAAATTAATCGATTAAAGTAAAAGTTTAAATCGATTACTGTACACAGAAGCGAAATAGCCTGAAAAGAAAACTGAATCATAATCGATTAAATGAAGACAAATAATCGATTAGGAGGTTCGGTACGAACTAATCGATTAACGAAGGAAAAATAATCGATTTTTGATCAAGTTTGAGCAGCCCAACGAATAGCTTATAAATCGATTAAAGTGAAGCAACAAATCTATTAGGAGGTTCTGTCCAAGCTAATCGATTTTCTTAAAAGAAATAATCGATTAAGAGTTGAAACCTGAGAAATTGCGCTGGATCTAATCGATTATCTTAAAGGATATAATCGATTAAAATGAAAAATAATGCGCAAACACAAAGGGCCCAAGCCAAGTGCGATTGGAAGCACTTTGGCTTCTAACTCGTTGTTTGGGACAACGAGAATAACAAGGCACGCTCCTGAGATTATATCTCCCTATTCAATGAATTTGAGTAGGGGAGAGAAAAAGAGAGTCCAAAAAATTATTTTGTGTGTCAAACAATACACGAAAAAATATTTAAAGTATATTTTTCTCACCAAAGAAAATTGTGTAATCTTAAAAATGTTTTAAATAAATTTTGACACACTAATTTTGAAACTGACTCACAAAAATATTTTAGACAGAGGAAAAGTGATTTTTCAACTGACTCAAAAATAATTTTTATCCCTCAGAAATTAAATTGTTTTGTGCAGAAGATATTGTCATCCTTACAAAAATTCCTAGACTCAATAAAAATAAAAAGTCTTCGGAGTCTTCGCTTCACTTCAAAAAACTGCGTAGGGGTGAGCGTGAATTATCGACGAAACTTCTTGATGCCCTTCTTTGCTTTTCTCGATCCGAATAAATTTTCAAATATTGATTGAATTTAATCATCCTGTTTGTCATTCATCAAAACAAAAAATAATCCAAAAAAAATGCGAAGGAGGTTTGAACTCATGTCAAACAGTATCTTGTTGGTACAATGAACATTGGACTATGGTACCCCAAGGGGTCTCCTTGTCATCTTTTTGGCTATTCCGACTCGAACTTTGCCGGTTGTAGATTAGACCGTAAGAGTACGAGTGGGACTTGTCACTTGCTTGGTAGTTCTTTAGTCTCATGGTTTAGTAAGAAGCAAGTCAGTGTTACGTTATCCACAACCGAAGCGGAATACGTTGCTGCCGGTAGTTGTTGTGCTCAAATCCTTTGGATGAAGCAACAACTTGTGGATTATGGCCTTAGTATCGATCACGTCCCTCTTCGATGTGATAATACTAGTGCCATAAGCTTGACGAAGAATCCGGTTCTTCACTCAAGGACGAAACATATTGATATTAGGCATCATTTCATTAGAGATCATGTTCTCAAAGGTGATGTCGAAATTGAGTTCGTTGAAACACACAACCAATTAGCCGACATTTTCACAAAGCCTTTAGAGAAAGAGTCGTTCTTCCGCATTCGTAGTGAACTCGGAATCCTTGACTCCACAATGATCTAAGTTGTGCATTAGTTATCATTTCTTGGTCCTTACTAACTTGAACGTCGGAGACGTTTTTTATTCTTTTTTGCAGGGCTTTTATTTTAAATTTTATTTTTCAGGTGTCAAAGTCAGGGGGAACAAAGTAAATCGATTTTTTTATCAGACTTGGTGTAAATCGATTGACAGGCTTGTGATAATCAACTATCACAGCCCGCAGAAGTTTGGAGCCAAGATACTGAAGGAGCTAACAATCGATTATCAACATTGAGATAATCGATTATCTGAGCCTGCAGGAGTTTGAGGGAACTTAGCTGGAGACATCAACAATCGATTTACAAAAAACATGTAAATCGACTATTAAAGCCTGCAGAAATTTTGAGGCAAATCAGCTACACTCTCCAACAATCGATTTACAACCAGGCGGAAATCGATTATTGAAGCCTGCAGTTTCTTTGGCGGCGAATCTGAAGACTCAAATAATCGATTTACAGGGAGTGTAAATCGATTATCAACGGCGATTTTTCAAAAATCTGACCGTTGCAGAGACGTTGGAGGAGCATTTAAACCTTGTTTGACCACTCCAACGGATCTCTACACCTCTTCCACTATTTATTGGTGATATCTACTCCATTTTTACTCATTCCAATCATCTCTTCTCCATATATTCATCATAATTCATCATTCTTGATATTGTTCTTCAACTCTTAGCCAAATTTTCTGCAATTTTTCTCTTCTCCCTCTCTACTTTGTTGAAATGGCAGGAGGTCAAAGAAAAAGTTCCCGCACCGGCAAGAACGTGGCTTCTTCCTCGGCTCCTCCACCACCTGCGCACCAATACCTCGACGGATCTTTCTTGTGGTTCAACGACCGCGCAGAGGCGTCGCGGTTCTCGGAGAAGTTTGAGCACCGGGAGATTCTTCCTCCCCGGATCTCCACGGGCCGCTTCATTCACGGCTCCATTCAACGCCAGGCACGGGTCATCCTCCAAGAAGGACACTTCCTTGACCTCCTCTACATCAAGAAGAACGACTACCACCCTTTTCTCGTTCGAGCCTTCTACTCGAATTTGAAAAAGGATGAGGACGGTTCATTGATTTCAAACGTCAACGGGGTGGAGATTAACTTGAATGAGGAGAACATTCAAATCCTCACCGGGCTTCGTCAGGACGGACAGGATATCGGGCTCTACGTCGGAGAAGAAGGAGCGCGGTTCAACGAGACCGCCCTCTTGGAGGAAGTGGGCATCCGAAACTTCGTCCCCACTCCCCAACAGTGGCGCCCTACGATTACTTCCATGAGTCCCGTGTTTCGATTCATTTTTTATGTTTTGACACGGATTCTCAAGCCTGGGAAGTTCATTCACACCACTCTCTCCCAGGAGGACACGAAGACAATTCATGCGATGATTCACAACGCCAATATCAATTGGTGTAAATTTGTGATGACTCACATGTTCAACGCCACCTCCGACAACAGGCCGCTCCCCTATGTTCTCCTTGTCATGGCGATCATTGATGAGTTCCACATCAAGACGGACGTCGGGCCAAAATCATTGGGAGATTGACGAGTCTTCCTTCCACCTGGGAACCGATGAAGCTACGTTCCGGCAGCCTCGTCCTCGCCGCCAACCGAGAGACACTGCCTCGACCGCCGCCGCTTCGACCAATCCTTCTCTCGCCGAGCAAATGGCGGCTTTGACCACCACCCTCTCTCGGATAGACACCAACGCCTCCAAAACGGCACACAACGTCAATATCTTGAGACGTGAGCTTCACGGGTATTTTGACTTTGTCAATTACCCGTACCCTCAAATGGTCCCCTACGTTCCTCCACCGAATTTCGGAGGTGAACCGAGTGGGACTCAAAACGTTGGAAGATAAGAAGCGGTGAACGATGAAGATGAAGAAGAAGAAGAAGAAGAAGAAGAGGAAAACGAAGAAGCCGAAGATGATGATGATGATGATGATGATGATGATGGTGATGGCGATGGTGATGAAGATGAAGACGATGAAGAAGAAGACATTGACGAAGAACAACTTCTCAATGATCTTTCCCCGGATTTCTAGAGCTCTGGCTCTATTTTCTTCTCTTCCTTATCTTATCATCTTTTAATGTGCTTTTCGTTATGTACTCCTCTATTTCCCTTAAATAATTAATAAAAATCTTTATGATTTTTGTTTTTAAATCTTTTTGTTAATGTCAAAAGGTGGAAGATAAGGGCTATGCATATATTAAGGGGGAATTTTTATTAAGGGGGAATTTTTTTTAAAAAAAAGATCAAAACACCATGCATATCCCCGTCTTGTTTGCCATTATCAAAAAGGGGGAAATTGTTGGAACACACTTTGTACGATAAACTAAAGTCGTGTTCATTTCTGACAGGTTTTGATAATTGCCAAACCGCCGTGGATATGAAGAGTTTCGTCGGATAACTCAAGGCGTGAAGAATGGCTTGGAACAAGACCAAAAAGACTCAAGAACAAGATCAAGAATTGAAGACTTAGTCGAGTCGGTCTTTTGTGATCAAAACCGACAATAAATTCAAGTCTCGGTTCTCAAAAGTCAAAACAATTTTTACAAATCATAAAATATTTTTGTGCATCAAAATAAATATTTTTGATGATTTTTTATTGTTAAAATCGCTGGTCCTTGCTCGGAACCTAAACCACCTAGGTCGGCGTTCAGCATTCAGCGTTTGGCGTTCGGTTTTTGGCGCCCGAACCAACTCCGTGGTTTTCAATATTTTAAACCTTTTTTTACCTCTGAGCATATTTAAAAGGTTCCCAAATAATTATTTCATAAAAACCACTTTTGTATCTTGGTCAATCGGTCTAACACGTGAAAAACGGTCAAAACCGTACACACGTGATTTACGACCTTGGAGACTTGGTTTTTACCAAACAAGTCTTCGTTTCACTATTTTATACCATATACAATGTTTTTCAAACTTGGTTTTTACTTTTGGGAACACTTCGTTTTTTGGAGCTCAGTTTTTCAAAACGGGTTTTCGCTGGCTAAATGTTAGCTGGGTGATAATCGATTATCACCTTAGTGACAATCGACTATCAGCCCCTGCAGCTTTGAACTTCAAAGTTTTGAAGCAAGCAATAATCAATTGTCACATTTTGCAACAATCGATTATCATTGTCTGCAGCTAAAACCCAGAATCTTCTGAGAGGACCAATAATCGATTATCACTAGTTGACAATCGATTATCTGGGTTACCGTTGTCCTCCAACGGATAGAATTTTAAATTTTTGGAGAAGGAATCTTTTGATAATCAATTATCAAGCGTGGATAATCGACTATCAGCCTGTGTCTCTGAAAAATTTGTCTTCATCCTGTTGGAAAATCAAGCAACGGATTTATCCCATTTTGGTCAATAAAATGGCACCCAAATCCTCTCATTTTACACACAATTCTTCAACATTTCAATACTCTTTCATTGCATAAGCATTCCTATTTTTTCTTAGCTATTTGAGAACCAATTCTTGAAGAAATTGTCGTGTTCTTGAGCGTTTACTAGTTCACTCATATCTACTCTTTGTGAGAGTTTTATTCCTGAGTGCTTAAGTGTTTTCATACACTTTAAGGGAGGTTGTTCCCTTTTTGTAAACTCGAAGGAAGTTCTTTGTTCCTTCGTGAGAAGTCTTGGAGTGCGGTATCTCCGAGCAAAGGCGTTGAGGCTCGTGTGACTCGAGTTCTCAAGTTGTATCGGTTTGTTGAGCACCCTTAAGCTTAACAGAGTTAGTGTAGCTCGAGAGAGTCTCTCGGGAGGCTGGATTAGCCACACGTTGTGGTGAACCAGGATAAAATTCAGTGTGCTCCTTCCTTACGCTCTTTACTTTTACGCTCTCGTTTTTAATTTCCTGCGATTTTGTTTTAAACGCTATTCACCCCCCCTCTAGTGTTGGGCCTTTATTCTAACAATTGCTATCAGAGCCTTACTCTCTGTAAGACTTAACCGTTTGAGAGAAACGATCAATGGCTTCTACTCAAAGTTCATACGCAGGTTTAGGTGAAGGGCAATCCACCACAAGGCCTCCGTTGTTTGACGGAACGAACTACACCTATTGGAAGGAGCGGATGAGGATTTACATCCAATCCACCAACTTTCTCCTTTGGAGAATTATCAAGAATGGTGAAGACGTGCCAATGAAGAAGGTCGGGGAAACCAACGTCCCTAAGACCGAGAATGAGTATGATGCACAAGACATCAAGAAAATGGAAAACAATGCCAAGGCCATCAATATCATCTATTGTGCCGTAAACCCGGATGACTACCGGAAGATCTCTTGTTGCACCACCGCGAAGGAAATGTGGGATAAACTAGAAATCACCTACAAAGGTACGGATCAAGTCCAAGAAGCTAAAATTGATTTTCTAACCCATGAATATGAATTATTTCGTATGAAGGAGAATGAGAAAATCGATGAGATGTTTAAACGATTCTCCAAAATCGTCAATGATCTCCATGCTCTCAAGAAGACGTACACGGACAAGGAGCTTGTGAGAAAAATCCTGCGAAGTCTCACACCGGAGTGGCACTCCAAAGCCGATGTCATCCAAGAGTCCATTGGCATCACCAACGTCACCATTGACGGGCTTAGAGGTAACCTCAAAACCTATGAGTCTACCATTTTATTCCCCTCTTTAGGTGAACAAAAGAAGAAGGGGATTGCACTCAAGGCTTCCTCAAGCCAAGAACCCGCCATGGAGGAATCGAGCGATGAAGACAACGAGTTCGGGCTCGTTATCAAGAAATTCCACAAGTTCATGCGCAAGGAGTATAAACGAAAGGGTAAAAAGCATGGAGGACCACCCAAGTGCTATGGGTGTGGAGAAGTTGGGCATATCAAGCCAAAATGCCCAAATTCCAAAAACGAGAAGGAGAAGAAACCGTTCAAGAAGCACCGAGCTTACATCTCGTGGGGAGGTGATTCCGGCGATGAATCATCGGAAGGCGGAGAAAATGAAAGCGCCAACCTTTGCCTCATGGCACACGAGGAACCACCGGAAGAGGTATGTACCACTTCTAAAGATTCCCATACTTTAGATGATGTACAAGAAGCTTTTAATGAACTCTATGATGAATATGTAAATGCTTCTAAAATTAACAAGGATTTAAAGAAACAACTTACTTCCATGGAGAAGGAGGTTGATAAATTATCAAAAGATAATGAAAAACTTAAAGAAGAAAATAAGTTTTTCGGAAAAAGAAGCGCCGACAAACCGGAGAGTTCAAAATGTAGTTCTTGTACATCACTTAAAGAACAAGTTGCAAAACCTGAAGGAACCTTAAAGAAGTTTGGTGTTTCTCATAAAAATCTCTATGATGTTCTTGATAATTTGCAACTTACTAAACATGGATTAGGATTTGAAAATGAAACTAATAATAAGGAAAAAGTAAAATAGACAACCTACAAAACTAATAATAAGGCTCAACCTAGGAAAACTAAAATGAACAACAATAGACAACCTACATCAACTAGGAACACTAGGCCACCTAGAAAGAACACTAGGATAAACAATGGTCAAGTTAGAGAACCTAGAAACCATTTTCCAAATATGCATAAACAAAACTTTTCTCAAACTAGGGTCAATCAATATAGAAAACCTAGTAACTATTATCAACCTAGGAGAATGCATAATCCAAATGTTATTTGTCATTATTGCAATAGGGTAGGACATATAGCCCCGGTTTGTTTCACTAGGCATAGGCATTGCACTCAAAACCAATCACACTACCAACGTGCACCTAACTCCCAAGGACCCAAAAGGAATTGGGTACCTAAATCTTTTTAAATTGATTTGTAGGTGTGCTTGAAGGCATCAAGTGTACTTTGGTACCTTGATAGCGGATGCTCAAAGCACATGACCGGAGATGCATCCAAGTTTTTGCAAATCAAACCAACTAAAGGAGGAAATGTTGTCTTTGGCGATAATAGCAAAGGCAAGATAATCGGCATTGGTTCGGTTGGTAAAAACGAAACCTCCTCTATTGATAATGTTTTGTTGGTTAAGGGTCTTAAACACAATCTCTTGAGCATAAGTCAATTGTGTGACAAGGGAAATCGTGTGACCTTCGATTCTAAATCATGTACGGTAGAACGTCTTAGTGACAATAAGACGATTCTTCGTGGTGATAGAATTGATAATATTTACATGGTTAAAAACATTAGTGATCTGGTAATTGTGAATATATAGAAATTTACAAAAAAATTGATAGTATTGTTTTCCAGATTTTTTTCTTTTCGTTCAAATACAAAATCATTCAAACATGTGAAAACATTCTTTTCTTAATTTATTTGATATGTATAAGTATGTGATCATTTAAAACAATAGTCTAGTCATTTCTTATTTTATAGCATTTTAATGTAGAGATTAAAATATATTTTTTAAATTTTATTTTACATTAATATTGAAAATAATTAAAATACAAAATAAGTTTATTTAAACATGTCATAAATGAATATAAATTTATTTAGAGCCTGTTTGGAAACAACGTTGGAGTTTAGAATTAGAGTTTAGCCGCTTGCATCAGAGTTAGTGATTAGCTATTTGCATTAGAGGTTGAGAAAGTATCTTTTATTAGGAAAGGAAATCTAATTTATTCATTGATAGTTTTATTATATATAAAATGAAAAAATATAAAATTAAAAAATTCTTGTATGTTCTAATAAAATTGATTTTATCTATTCCATAATTAAATTTACTTAATAATGTTGAAAAATTTTATTCTATAACTTAATTAAAAATATCATATCATATCATAATAGATCACGAAAAATAGTACTCCCTCCCTCCCATGAAACCTTTCTCTTTTCCTTTTTATCCATCCCACAAAACACTTCTCATTTCTATTAAAAAGTCACTTTTACCCCTTACTTTTTCCTACCCTAACTATCACATCATACCTTTTTACTAATAATCTATCCATCAAATCATACTTTTACCCATCACATCAAAGGACATTTTTGGAAATTCAATACCAAAATACACTCCCCTAAAATCCCTTCTAAAAAGCAAAAGTTCCATGTTTCATGGGACGGAGGGAGTATATTTTTATATTTAAATCATAAATCATCTAAAGTGTGTAAACCATAAATTGTGCAATATATTCAAGTTATGAAATTACGTATAATATTTTCTTTCTAATTTTAACACAATTATTATAGACCAATCATCTCTTATTTTATTAATAATTTAAGAGTAAATTCTTTAAATGGTTCTTTATAACTGGAGGTTTCCATATTTCATCCTTATTTACCAATTATTAAGTTTGTAGTCTTTATAAATTGGGTACTATGCCACAAATGGTCATCCGTTTCTTTTTCCATTTTATTGCTGCTAAATAGAGGGCTAATAATGTACGTTTACTCATGGTTGCGTTTATTTCTTGCAATGGTCGGGAGGTTTGCTACAGAGCGTTCAAATTCCAAAACAAATACTTAGAGCATTCACAATGGCAAGACAATGCCTTGTCATGCCATGTCAGTAACTTCCACTCAAATCATGGCATTCCATGGCCATTCCACCTCACTTTTCATTCCATGTGCAAGGCATGACTCTCTCATTTTTTTTTTTTTTAACATTTTTAATATTTGTAATTTTTGAAAAAAATATTTTTCAAAAGAAGTAAACATATTTTAATAATAAAATAAATTTTAAAAATAATTTTTTATAATTAAAAATCATTAAAAAGTGCAAAAATAGACAAAAACAACGACTTGCCACCGTATGTTACGACACTCCACTCATTTGCCACACGGTGATTGGGTTACTTTTTATTGGTTGAAATAATTCATGTCACCGTGTGGCATTTCATTTTTAGCTTGCCATTGTCAATGCTCTTACAAGTACAAAGCCTAATCATGTTTGAGAGCTCAAATTCAAAATTTGAATTGAGTTCAATAACCCATTAGTGTTTGAGAATTCAAAATTAAAAAGAAGTTGACTCTTCAAATTCAAATTTAGTAATAATCGCATATGAGGAAAATCTTTAAACTACTACTCCAATACCTAATTTCGATGAGAGTGAGATAACTAAAGCTCAGAATTTGGAAGAGAGAAATTGTATCACCCCACCCCGGATGACCCGAGTCATCCAGACCAGAGTGCTAGTAAAACCGGGCTACTTTGTAAAATATCATTTTTTTCGAAATATACTCTTTTTGATATCTAAAGAGAATTTAAAAAAACGTTTCTCGCGTAAATTTAATTTAAAAACATCCACAGTTAATACAACCTTACCTTGGGTTCCAGCCCAAAAAAAAACAAAGTAAAATTTAGTTCGACGTTTTATTCATTATTAAATATTAAATAAGAACTTCTTTGGTATGACCTCCATGTCCAAGCTTTCCTCCTCAGCAGTCGTTCACCTTGCTAGTACCTGCGTGCAGTTAAAAAAACTACACGATCAGCAAAGCTGAGTGGCAAATAACCAATAGACATACTCCCTCCGTCCATTTTTAATGTTCGGACTTTGACTTGGCACGGAGATTAAGAAAGGTTAAATTTTACATTGACTTTCCAATTATGCCATCCCCACTTTCCTCACCACTATACGGTCACCCACTCCCTCAATGTCCTATCCGACATCTTCCATCGCCGGCATAGCCCTGCCGCCCAACCCTATCATCCAAAATCAGACATGTCCCGGAAATCCATCCCAGAAAATGAAGAATCCGAATAATATTCTAAGATTTGGGCCAAATCCAAAAATGAAGAATCCGAATAATATTCTAAGATCTAAGCCCTGACATCTTCCATCCCCTTCATAGATCTTGATTTTATTTCTAAGATCTGGGCCAAATCTGAATAATCCGAAGAAGAAAATGAAGAATCCGAAGAAGAAGACGAAGAATCCAAAGAATCCGAAGGAGAAGACAACGAATCCGAAGAAGAAGAAGAATATGAAGAATAAGAAGAAGAATCCAAAAAAGTACAAGAAGAAGGAGGAGGAGGAGGAAGAAGAAGAGAAGAGAAAAGAAGGGAAGAGAGAAGAGGAAGAAACCTGATACAGAGCAAAAAAAGGACTGAAGTGGAGAAGGAAAGAAGAAAGAAGAAGGAAAGAATAAAAGAGAAGAAAAAAGAAAAAAAGAGATGGGTGGGGCTGGGGTGGAATGTGGAGGAAAAGAAAAAAAAGGAGGATAGAAATAAAGTAAGGGTAATTAGGTCTTTTGATGTAAAAAATATTACCAAAAAAGGAAACACGAACATTATTTATGGACGGACTAAAAAGGAAAGTACGAACATTAAAAATGGACGGAGGAGTATATAACATGTAAATATATTCTGAGCATTTTAAGTTATTCCAATTTTTGTTTTATTTTTTAAAAAAACTTTTCGCATAATTAAAATCATTGAGGAAATGATCTCACTTTGAATAGCTACTTGGGGACATTTAGGAAACACTTGACCTACTAGGTTAAGCACAGATTAGAGACAAATCCGTGACTAGGCTGGAACACCGCACTAGTCGATACGTAGTTTTACTTCGGATACCTCCCCGTGACCTCGGGTCCAGTAACAGAAGTGAACCCTAGACCCACGGGGTCATCGTTGGGTTCTCGTGCGCACGTTGTGGTATGATTATTTGTAGGCTCATGCACTTGGACACATACGATCCGGCCTTATAACGTGTGGTTTGACCCACTTTGATAAAACGTGACGATACCTGGTCAGGGTATGTCGTTAAATTTGATGTTCAATTTTACTTTGTCTCCTAGCTATTTGGTAAAACTTAGTAAGGTCCTTTAAGTAAAACACTTTTAGTGTCTTCAGATATAAATCATTTTTAATCCATTTAACACTTTGTGCCCCTTTTATATATAAAATATACGATTGCTTCAAAGCAAATAACTCAAAAAAAATGTAAAAAGGTGATATACGTATGTTCATTGATCAATCAAATGAAATGTATTTTTTTCCTTTTTCCATGTTAGGAAAGTAACAACCACCAAAATTGTTCTCACTCTGGGTGCATTCGGTCTTTCGAAATAATAGTAAAGAACAAAGAATAAAGTAAAAATCCTATATATATATATATATATATATATATATATATATATATATATATATATATATATATATAGG